TAATTTTTTTTTTTTTTGCATTTTATTTCAATAATTGATTTATAAAAGGCACCAAGAAACATTACTCGTTTAGGAACATATGTCTTCAAAATTCTATGTTGTAGGTCTGTAGACCTATCAACATCCACCACATATATTCCAATCCAACTATAGTATTTTTCTTTAAATTTCTTAACATTCATTGAGCACAATAAATAGGATGCCCAAGGTACGAAAACGGTTCGTTGGCGTTGCCACATTCGCTAATTATTCTGCCTCAATTACTCATATTTGGAGGAATGATCCTGGACAAAAATGCTTGTTGCGAAAATAGAATTCCACGCTGATTTCTATGATTGATCTGATCATTTTCTTGCCGACGAGAACAGAAAACAAATACATAATTTCCACATTGCGAGGGTACAAAGTTTCAAATATCCTGGAGTTCTACTGAATAATCAATAAGATTGCTAAAAAAAATAATAAATAAATAAATAAAAGATATCCAATTCGTAAATCGGTTATGCAATAAAGAGAAGAACAGAGCCTAAAATTATATGAGAAACCTTTTTTGTAGAAAATTTTAATTTCTCTTTACTTTCCGGATTAAGAAATCAAGTTGCTGAAGGAACGCCACAGAAAGGGATTTTATCACCTCTCCTGTGGGTTACTTCCATCTATAGTCTATTAAGGACTTGAACCAACGAAGGATTTGAACAAGCCTATAAAGACGGCGTTAAAATACTTTTAAAGGGAAATTACCCTAACTTGTTGTGGGGAAGGGCCGAGTCGACTCTGAAACTCGCATAAAACTTGACTTGATCCAGAGGTCTTAACGTATACCTTGAAACACTAAGATATGCCTTTTCACTAGGAAAACAAAACTGGGACATTTCCATGAATCAGTCTTCCTGAACAAGACAATCAGCATTTCTAGATAGGAAACTTAATTTGGGGAGACCACAACAAAGAATGAGCAATTATAACTCATAGATACTGGGCAACGTGTAAAAAGGCTAAAAGCTCAAAATGGAGTTTTAATACATGGATGACACACTGGCTATTCAAAAGCGTAATTAGACCTCTTCTGTTGAATTTACAGAATACCAACACGGACAGTAAGATCGCCGTAAAAGCTAAACTGTATTGGAATGTATAAATTCAATTAACAACTATTCTTAACACGTCTCAGCAGGCTTTATATAGATCATATGAGGATTAGAGATAACGAGACAGCGAACTCTCTTGCCACGACAGGCGGGGAATTGCAAGAGTAAACTTGGAAAATCTAATACTCTTAAAAGCGTCACCTCTAGGGTTAAAGACATGGAGAAAAACGCCCAAATGTCCCTATGGAACAATGACGACGTAGGGAAAGTCAAAAATTCCTATGGTTAACCTCAATGAGGTAAAAATTAAAAACCTAGGTAAGAAAGAGATTAATGGGTTAACATAGATCCCAACGAGGCATCTATGCCTACAAAATCAGATAGGATGTGCAGATAACAGCAAATACTGTCCATGTGGGGAAGATTTTGGAACGTTGGAGCATTTTCTTTATCAGTGCCCATAATTTTTTCTTAGGGAACGCCTACTGACGATGTTTTTTGAAGATGCATTTTGGGTCATGCGATCTAACTAGGGTAAAAGTGGGTGCCCAACTAGAACGAATTTTTTAAATTTGGCGCCACTTGAAGTGTCATTGTTTGACATTTGAACAATTGTTATTGTTTGCTAGTAGAAGGTTAGTAAAAATGACTGCGAAGGGAGTTCCTTAATTGGGTATTAGAGAGACAACATGAAAAGGCCAGTTTTACCGATAAAATCTTCTTCATGGACGAGGCCCATTTCTATCAAGGTGGCAGAGTTTTCGCATTAGGCGTAAGGAAACTCTTAGTGATTCACGAGAAGCCAATGCACCCACTGTGTGTTGTGGTTTTTGGGTTGGTGGAATCATTGGACCTTTTTTTGTGAAAATAAGTCAGGTCAATCGCAAACAGTCAATGGTGTTCGATTCCATTTTTTATACCCTACACCACAAGGTGGTCAGGGTATTATGTCTTTGTGCATTTGTTTGTAACAGGCAAAAGGAAACGAGATAGACCCATAGTTCCTTCTGATGATCTGCATAGAATCACATTCTGAGTCGATTTATGCATGTCCGTCCGTCCGTCTGTCCGTCCGACTGTCCGTCTGTCCATGTATTTTTGTAAACAAAGTACAGGTCGCATTTATTGCCCGATCCAGATGAAATTTTGCACAAATCATTTGTTTGGCCCAAGGACGAACCCTATTGAAATTGGAGATAATCGGTCAAAATTTAGATATAGCTCCCATATATATCTTCGTCCGATTTGTCTTTTATTGTGCACCAAACGTGTAATATCAGTCCGAATTGTATGGAATTTTGCATATAAACCCAAATTAGGCCTGAAAATATGTATGCCAAATTTGATCGAAATCGGTTCAGATATAGCTATAGCTCACATATATATTGTTCAACCGATTTGTTATTTTTGTCCACAGCCGCCGTAATATGCACTCTGCAATAACAATATTTGGGGAAATATATGAAATACAGCTCAGAAATACATTTGCTAAATTTTATCGAGATCGGTTCAGATTTGGATATAACTCCCATATATATTTTTATCCGATTTCAAATTAATTGTGCACCAAATGGGCAATACAAGTCCGAATTTAAAAGATACAAATGCTTCGGCATATTTAGTCCTTTGAACTTTGAATTATAATTATAATCATAGCGTGTATGATTGAATTCTCCTATAAAAACTTTTAATTGTTATGTAGAGCTCTACTAAATTAGCAAAGTGGTGTAGGGTATCATAAAGTCGGCCCCGCCCGACTTTAAAGCTTTCTTTACTGGTTTCTTGTCTAGAATTGAAGATGAAGTGTTGGACCTTTTTTTGTGAAAATATGGCCAGTCAAGCGCAAACAGTCAATGGTGTTCGATACCATTTATTCTTGTCTAGAATTGAAGATAAATTGTGGAGGGCATGTGGTTTCTATAAGGCGCCACATGTCATACATCCATTTCCCGGTTGTCTTATTTCGCGTCTGTCCGTCTGTTCATGTTAATTTGTAATCACGCTACTACGCACTTATGGCCCGATCCTTACGAAATTTTGCACGAAGGTGGGGTTAGGGTCAGAATAGAAGCCTATTTCATTTGGAGATGATCGCCAAATGTTTAGGGGTTGAAATGGACCAAATACTGAAAAAAATGTCGGATTTTGCAGTAGCTATACAGGTCGCAATTATAGACCAATCGACGCGGAATTTCGCATGTAACTAGAGTTTAGGGCGGGGAAGAAGCCTACCAATTTGGGTGGTAATCGGATAATATTTAGCGGGTAAAATAGACCATATCTTTTGTGTTGAAAAAATTCAACATTTTTCATTAAACCGTGAATATTTTAAATCCCGGCGAAATCACAAAGCCATGACAAGGTTACTTCTGACCTTTACATTGATGTTAACATCCAACAAATCGGATATATAGCAAAATATGTGCGATATATATGTCTATCAAAGAAGATATGCTTGAAAGATCTCTTATAAGTATGTCGAGAACGGCTGAACTGATTTCGACAGTTCTCATTAATTCAGAATGACTTCTTGTTAGGAAAGAAAAAAAGTCTAAAAAATCGCATAAAAATATCTCTCTAAAGATGAAAATATTGGTTTTGTAACATTTTCTCATATTTTTTCAATTTTTTCATATTTTTTTTGGCATATTTTCATTTTGAATTAAACATTTGGTAATATTTCTACAGCTAACAAAACTAAGTAGTTATGATATCAGGATATCATATACAGATCGCATTTATGGCCCGATCCTTACGAAATTTTGCATTGGGATAAGATGAGGGTCAGAATAGAAGCCTACTCTTTTTGGAGATGATCGCCATATATTTATGGGTTTAAATGGACCAAAAAACTGCAAAATTGTCAGCAGGTCGTAATTATCGCCCAATCCTCACGCACATTTGAACACATTTGGGGTTACCGCACATTGCAAAAGCCAAGCAGTTTCGGATGGCCATCTTTTGTAGACTAAATACGAAAGTGTCCATTCCAGCGACTTTTTGGAGAATTCACAAATCATTAACGCTGATTTCGTTGAAGAATATAGTCAAATGTCTGTATCTCATATAGATGCGTTTCAGTCAAAAACCAATAATAAATGTTAATCTTTTGCCACTTCTGAGAGATTATAGGTCTTTGGGAAATATTGGTTCCAGATCTAGGAAGCCCATTTACGTGCAACATCTACCAATAAATTGGAAATGAGCGAATTAGTTTAAGTTGCTATTATTCGAAAATTAGAGAACGAAACCTGATGGTTTTCTGTTATTATTTGTCACATATCTTGTGGAATCCTTTCGAGTATCTCGCCTATATAAACTGTACGATTTATTATAGTGTTGTAGGGTATTCAACGGTCGGCCCCGCTCGACTGTAGCCTTTGCTTACTTGTTTTAAAATGTCAGTGTTGTATTAAAGTTTTAAAAAAATTGCGTTCCAGTTGGGACACCCTTTAATATTTTGTACGGGAAGCTAAATTTGCAGACTGTTGTAGGGTATCACACTGTCCAAGTTTTATTCTTTTCATTCGGGGTTATTTCTAGAGACGCGAATTGAGTTTCGAATAAAAAGTTATAAAATTAATAAGTACCATTGAAACTTGTATATTATAGAACAGAACTAATTTTATAGTTAAAAATGCGAGCATGCCATTTAATCTGCTATATTAATTTATACAGCCCGATTTAAAAGACCACAACTTTCTGTGTTAAGTTTTAAAAAAACCGGAAAGCCTTAGAGCCTCATGACAATAATTCAGAATTACCTGTGACACTTATTGCAGATAATATTTGAATATACAAGAATCTAACTGCCATACTTACGCTTGAAATCTGCAAAGCAAATGGGTCAGATTTCGGAGAACTTTTGATTTGAATATGAAAGAAGAAGGCATATTGTTTCATTGTTATATATGTAGGTATTCCATTTTATTGGTTTATTGTGTTAAATAGTTTTGATAACTTTGTTTTGTTGTTGTTGTTTGTATTTGAAAAGAATAACATTATTAAGATTACGATTACCATAATTACATACATTTAATTGTAGTTGTTGTTGTTGTATATGTTTAGAGTACATTTGTTTTAGTTTAACATCTAAAAAGGGATGGGTGATTGTTTTTGTTTTTTTTTTCTTTTTCTCAAGTTTGTATTTCATGTTCGGAAAATTCATTTAGAGGACAGGAAGGAGTTCTAAAAGATTTACTAATTTAGCGTAGAAGTTTGTCAGTTGTAGTTACTTTGAATATCATTGTTTTTTTGTTTAAACTAATATTGTGCTTAAAAAGTGTTTAAAACTAACATTGATTTGTTTGTAATTCATTTGATTTTGTTTTTTTCTTTATTGAAATTAGCCTTGTGCTGTATTAATTTAATTATTAATTAATATTAGTTGTTTTTGTTATTCTAATATATGTTTATTTCAGTATTATTTATTATATGTTTAGTTGAATATGTTTATAAACAAGGAAACTTACAAATATTATTACAAGGTGTTCTACAACTAAACTGCCTCGGGTAATTTATTTAGGTAGCTAATCCAGGGTTTGTTTAATTTGGTATATTTTTAAGCAGTTCAGATTTCTTAACTTAAAACAAATATATATTTTCATTAAAATATTAATCTAACTAAAAGTATTTTATACACAAAAAAGTAACTTATTCAAAATTAGAGAATATAGGTAGTTTTTTATAGGTAATTTAAAATAGTTTAAAATAAAATAGAAATTGCATCTTTCCAGGTTTTAGATTTAAGGGGGTTTTCGACATCTTAAAGATGCCAGAAATTTAAACAAAAAATATATATTTACATAAATTAATGTTCCTTTTTTTGCAACATTTCGGCCTCCAATGAAATTCAATTTCATTTGATTGGCTTTTTTTTTCCCCGTTTTTGTTATTGTATTTTTTTATTTTTTTCATTCTACGTCTATTTTTGCACAGGGTGAGTTTTTTGCTTAGGTTCTATACTGCATAGTTTTGTTTTTTTATTTAATTTAGGTATTTTATGTTGTTTTATTATTCTCCTTATTCTTTACAAATAAATAAACTTTTAAAGACTTAAAAAGAGAAAACGAAAAAATTGTAACGTAAATACTTATGTTCGTATGTCTGTAGTATGTACACAAGACACCAACAACTACCTACCTACCGACAAATGAAAAAGAGCAACCTCAAAAGACGGGTGGAAACCACACCACGTCACGCACATCACAAAACGTCACGTCATTTTACGAGTATTTCAGTAATTCAGTATTTCTTCTTCTTTATTTTCATATTTAGCGGCTCTCCTGTCTCTTGGATTCCCTTCTCACTTATTTTACACAAACTTCATTGCCCAACGCAACTTCTCTCAGGCAAGGCTATTGGGGAGCCAACAATGTGGAAGAGAGCGAGAGAGAGAGGTGATAGGGGAGCCCAGTTGAGGCATCATCATTCTATAAAAACAAACAACACACGACAAGACAAGTGTTGCTGACGAGGACAATGTTGCCATATCGAGAGAAATACCATTGTGTTGGGGTTAAATGATTATCATATATGGCTGTGGGATTATATTTTTTTGGGAAACGTGTGTAGATTCTCCAGTAGATTTGCTTCAACTCCAACACTTCTTCATTATATTTACATGTGGGACTATGTTCTGTGTTCATCTGATCCTCTTTTATATCCATTGCTTTTCTTACCTTTTTGAAGAAAAAAATCCCCAATTTTTGGTCGAGATCTGGTAATACCTGCAAAAAATACGAAAACAGAAAAAAAGGTTTCTTTAGTATTTGCACCACAAGTGGCTGTGACGACAGCCTTTGCTTATCAAATATTTTTGCTGATGTTGGTTTTGATGGCTTTTTTTGGTTTTGTTTATTTCTTTTGTTGGATTTCTACTATATTTTTTGATGGAAATGCTGAACGGCAAGAAGAGAAACAAACGATGCTGCTGACAGTAAAAATATTTGCGGGAATATATGGCGTTGTTAGCACAGTGTTACGCTTTAAAAACATAAAATGAATATCGGCACAAATTAAAGGTACCAGACCCAAGGGAAAAACTTAAGTGTAACGAAAATGTTAACCCTCCTCAATTATATTCCCATACTTTAAGGGGTTGCGGTAATAATATTTTTGTTCTTTGGATATGTCGGCCGTTGTTTCTCGTCTCTTAAAATAGACGGACCTCCAAAAAATCTATAATTTCGGAAACTTTTGTATGTGACCGAGAGTTTGTATTTGAACAGAATTCAGTCCTAAACTTTCTTCAGGTTTTTGGCCGAAATGAATTCTTTTCCGGTATGACTAAATTCATATTTGTATACGCTCCACCACCTAATGGAGGGCATATTAAATTTGTCATTCCGTTTGCAACACCTCATAAAATTCGTCGGATATCCCAAAATTTACAGGGTGAGATGAAAAAACTGCAACTAACTTCAGACTGCTATCATTCCTAAGTCATTGGTCTGACAGCTGTTAAAATTATTGCAGTGATAGGTCATTATATTGTTTACAAGCGTACAAAAGCATTTTGGTAAGAATTTTTCACAACGAAAGCTATTCGTGATGGAATTCAAGCGTGATAGTGTGATTTCTTTATATTTGGCTGGAAAACCACAAATGGCCATCGTTACAACACTCCAGCATTTAAATGTGAATAAATCTTTTGTGTATCGTACCATCGCTCGTTGGCGTAATACTGGTAGCGTATCCCAACGTCAAGGAAGTGGACTGAAGAAAACAACAACATCAGCAGAAATGGTTCGAAAAGTAAAGAAGCTACTTGATCGAAACCCGCGTCGCAGTGGCCGAAAAATGGCTCGTGAGCTGAGCATATCACAATATTCTATTCGGCAAATATTGAAAAATGAGTTCGGGATATTGCCATTGAAATTCCAAAAAGTGCAAGAACTTAAACCGCAACAGAAAGAAAATAGACTCAGAAGAGCTAAAGAGTAGCTTCGCTTGGCCGAAAGTGGTGAACTGCCAAATTTTTCTCCGATGAGAAAACATTCATTGCCCAGCAGTTTGTAAACAAACAAAATGTGATCGTGTTTACTTGTCAAAGAGTTCAGCTGAAAATGTGCACCTTCGGTTGGCCACCAGGACTCAAGGGCCGACCAAAGGGGTCAGCTAAAAATATGCACCTTCGATTGACCACCAGAACTCATGACGGCCATAGTGTGATGGTGTGGGCCGCCACAACAGCCGATGGTCGCTCTCCGCTGGTATTAATCGACAGTGGCATCAGATTTAATGCCGAATATTATAGCAAAAATATTCTGGAGGGTGTATCAAAGCCTTGGGCCCGCAAACATTTTGGGCGCAGACCTTGGACATTCCAACAGGACTCAGCACTATCATTTAAGGCGCACAATGGCCACCAAAATCCCCAGATAGCAATCCGTTGGAGTATTTTGTAAAGCGAGGTTGGCACTAGAAAATACCAAAGTGTCGATCACACCAAGTAGGCGCCTCGCCGGGAATGGACCAAAATACCGCAGAGCAACATTCGGGCAGCTTGTGACGGTTTCATTGGCCGTTTGAAGGCCATAATTCGTGCCAAAGGTGAAGAATTCAACAAATTTAAACTAATTCTAAAATTGGATGCTATTTCCGAAATTTTTTGCTTTCATTCAATAAATTTAAAAAAAAAAAATAAAAATTATGGCGTTTGCCTTTGTTGCAGTTTTTTTTATCTCACCCTGTATTTCATATAAAGTGAGGGAAGTAACAAATATAGCCCAAATTTTTCTTTGTTTCAAAATTGACAGAACTCATATCTAAACTCAAAAAACGTTTTTTACGAACTCGTAACACTGTGAGCATTGAAAACATTATTTTTTTTGTGAAAATAAATTTCGCTGTGGTTTTTGTTGCTGTTGCTGCTGCTGCTGCTGTTGTTAAGTTGTATTGGTTATTTGTTGTTCATAAAAAATATTATTTGATGATGATTTTTCATTGCTGATGCCCGTTGGGCGAATGGCCATTGAAGAATGAATGGTTTGTGTGTCTGTCTGTCTGTCTGGTTGTGCGTTGTTGTTGTTGTTATTGTTGATATGATGCGATTATGACGAAGATGGGCCAGAGATTAGTGTATAAAAAACAAAAAGATAAAACTGTTGTTGTTTGTTGTAGCCGCCATCATTATCAACATCATCATCTTCATCAACGTCGTCGTCGATGGTCGTTATTATCAACAACAACAGCAGCAACAACAACATTTTATTTACCATCAATTTATGGTGAGTTGCGGATGGATGAATGGGAACACAACATTTGTGTGTGTGTCGGCGGTCTGAGTGGTGAACGAACCGTCTAACATAGTTTGAAAATAAATTTTAGTAAACAAATCAATCCCATAAATATTTATGTTAATCAAATCTTCATCAACAAAATACGCCAGACCACAAAAAAAGACAAATAGCAAATGCCAAAGCAAAAAAGAAAAAATGTGTCAGAGATGGAAAAACATGGATAAACAATCAAACGAAATTGGGACTTATATGTTCTCATTTCTTAGACATACCATCATTTTTTAACAGATATCTAAAATCTAAATATCTATATATTATTATCGAAACCTTAAAGTGATGATACAAATGTTGCTTGGCATCGTTGCCTGGCATATTAATGTCAAATTATGCAGAAAAACGACACCAGGATTCTGACTTCCCTTATATGTCACTAAATATATCAAGCCATGATGCCAATCTGCAATTATGTGTCATTATGTTTATGTTTTTATTTTTCTAAAATTGTTTTCCATCAATTTTTTCTGAAACACCCTAATATTACAATTCCAATGATTAGAATCAATTTTGTGGATAAGGAATTTTCCCAAGGCGACTGACTGTAAATCTACGCACCGGCAATAGTTTTGTTTACTCAATATCCCGTGAACGTGAAGAGATTAATGATGAGCAGTCACACTCTACGAATTATTGATTCATGTTTTTGTTTTTTTGCTGTTCACACAGAAATACCATCGACAATTCAATGAGTTCATCACGGCGAATCAATGAGAAAATATTCCCAATATTGCGGAAATGGTAAATTTGGCAGAAATATTGAAAATACGATGTTCACAAAAGGCACTTAAGTATTCGACGTCTGTTTGGCTATAATTCCCGCTAGAGACTAGTCGATTGATTATCAATTCTTTTATGGGTCTAATGCCAACCAAATGGTATAAGAAATAAAAAATTCAGTCTAGGCGAAATTTTTAAAAGCCAACAAATATCCCAACTTTTGCCGAACAAACCTGGTCTCCTGCTGACAATGTCGGTGCTAGATCCACAAAAATTTACTAAGCTTATTTGTCACTTTTAACATTGCTAATAAGAACAACTACATACCATTTGCATTACCAGTAAGCTAATGTCATTCCTAAAAAATGTAGAAGACTAAATGACTTACTTTTATCATACGAAGCAATGAGTAACGGGGCACAGAGTGATTACGTCTTCGAATCTTCGCGCCAACAACAATAACCATTCACAATACGGCATTTCATTTGTGACTACTTTTAGAGCCGATAAACCGACAAAATTGATAAAAATTTATGAAAATGTAAAGTTTAGAGTCTTAAATAGGAAATGTGATATTTTAAATGATTAAATGATAAATGAGTTTTATTGGTGCATATCGGGTACTCTAGTTGTTTTGTAATCGAATTATATTGGAACAAAAAAAAAATTGGATGTTTTTTATGGTGGAGCTACCGGAAGATAGTAGAACGAACATTGGCGTATGGCCACATGGGGTACATTTATTTGATATGGCCAAAACTATGACTTATCGCATAAACGTTTAAGACCCATTTTATGATATTTGGATAACTCCCCTATTCAAGTCAACATATGAATCAATAGGCTAATATCATATCCCAACATTTTTATTGACCATATTTGAAACTACTATGGACTTAGCTCACTTTTTCTGAGACCTCCCTGAAGTTGGATCAGGATATAATTAATATGTAAAAATGTTTAAAAGTCATGTTTACTAATTTATTTGCTTCTGTCATAACATAGACCAAAAGTCACTAATTTCAGTTTAAAATAAAAAACATTAACATCCGCCAAGGCGAACTTTAAACACCCTCCACCATTAACTAAAGAAAAAAAATACATAAAAGTATCTGGATTTAAACGTATTCCATTTTAAACTACAAATACAAGTATGGTATGCGGTAAAGTTCTCAAAAAAAAAAAAAAAAAAAAAAAAAAAAAAAAAAACAATAAAGGTGATGGTGCCGTTATGTGGTGGCCACATCAAAACAGGAACCTATATAGACAATTGTATGTTACAAAGATTTTTATCTACTGCGAGTCTTGATATCAAATTTGAAAAAAATTCGTGGGTAACTGTGACTAGGAGGATTTTCAAACTACCTAATATCGGTGGGTAACGTTATATGGAAACAATGGACAATGTTTTGACAACGGTTGTAGAAATCATTATGAATTACAAATGCCAAATTTACACAAATCCGTTAGCAAGTGTGGCTTAAATTGTCAAAATTCCAAATATACGAATGTACCGTGGGGCCTATACGAAAACATGGACCTACATATACAATGTTCTGTCACCGCAGCTAGAACCCATTACGAACTACAAATATCACTTTTTAGAAAAATCCGTTGAAAAATGTAGCTAAAACTTTAAAAATACCAAATAACGGGAGGCATCGTTTTATGGAGCCTATAGCACAACGTGCACTTATATAGCCAATATTCTGCCACCATAAGTAGAGCCCGTTACTAACTCTTAATATCAACAAGCAAAGAAAGTCCTAAAGTCGGCCCTTTATGATACCCTACACCACTTTGCTAATTTAGTAGAGCTCCACATAACAATTAAAAGTTTTCATGGGGGAATTCAATCATACACGCTATGATTATAATTATAATTTAAAGCTCAAAAGACTAAATACGCCAAAGCATTTGTATATTTTAAATTCGGAATTGTATTGCCCATTTGGTGCAAAATTAATTTGAAATCAGATAAAGATATATAGGAGAGCTATATCCAAATCTGAACCGATTACGATAAAATTTGGCAAAGATATATCTGAGCTGTATTTGAAATATTTCCCTGAATATCGTTGTTACGGAGTGCATATTACGGTTGTGGGTAACAAATATAACAAATCGGATGAACAATATATATGGGAGATATAGCTATATCTGAACCGATCTTCACCAAATTTGGCATACTAGCTTCTAGACTCAATTCGGTCGTATGTGCCAAATTCCATCCTATTTGGGCTAATATTAGACATTTGGTGCACAATAAAAGGGAAATCGGACGAAGTTATATATGGGAGCCATATTCAAATCTGAACCGATCTCGATAAAATTTAGCAAAGGTATTTCTGTGCTGCATTTGATATATTTCCCCAAATATTGTTGTAACAGAGTGCATATTACGGCTGCGGAGGACAAAAATAACAAATCAGATGAACTATATATATGGGAGCTATAGCTATATTTGAACCGATTTCTTTAAAATTTGACGTACTTATTTTCAGACCTAATTTGGTTGTATGTGCAAAATTCCATGCTATTCGGGCTGATATTACACGTTTGGTGCACAATAAAAGGCAAATCGGAAGAAGATATATATGGGAGCTATATCTAAATTTTTACCGATTATCTCCAATTTCAATAGGGTTCGTCCTTGAGCCAAACAAATGATTGGTGCAAAATTTCATCTTAATCGGATAATAAATGCGTCCTGCATTTTGTTCGCAAGAATCATGAACAGACGGACGGACTGACATGCATAAATCAACTCAGAAAGTGATTCTATGGAGATCCTCAAAAGTAACTATGGGTCTATCTCGCTTCCTTCTCCATGTTACAAACAAATGCACAAAGACATAATACCCTGACCACCTTGTGGTGTAGGATATAAAAATTCCGTGGAAAAATATATATATATAATATATAACGGCTATACCAAAGCGTGGACCGATATATCTCAGTATAAAGCTCTTTTAAAGCTCTGCATCAAATAATGTGGACTGTATCGTGATTCAAACAGAGCGACAGACGGACATCGTTAAATCGAATTTTTCTTAGAATATTATGCTGATCATGAATATATGTACTTTGGTGGGTCTACGACGAATGTTTAGAGGTGTTACAAGCGGAAAGACAAATTTAATATACCCTTCCTTAAAAGTGGAGGGTATAAAATGCATTGTCCAAAAATTCAAAATCTAAAAATTGTTAAAACAAATACCACATAACTTTTAAAATAGCTCACTACCATACAAAAAAAAAAACATGTTGTGGCATTCCATTCCAATGTGCCTCGTTCTCGTCATCGTCTCCGTACACACAATCACATTAATAATTATGCTTTTATGAACATTAAATAATATTTCTGTATTGTTGTGGTTTTTGTGGTTTACAGGAGAGCAGCACGTCTACCTCCCTCCCCGCATTCAGGCATTGGCTGGATAGATGAATTGCAGTAGGTGTTTGTGCTGAACACAAGCTCCACTCTTTGTACATCTGCATTACACACATATAACCCGTACGAACATACATCCCGACAGATATTTTCATCTTGAATTATGAACCTATCAACAAAATGCATTGTATCATAGTGTCATAATCTCTTGTATCAACACAAACACATATATACATACATATGTATGTTGCATGCACATTCGTTTGTGTGTATGGATGATATGCAAATTTGTGCAAACACTGTTCGCTCTACTGTTCATTTGCAGACTAAATTCATATACACAAGTTACAGATAAACACACCACATTTACATTTACACCACATACATGTACGTGTGTATGTATATACATATTTTTGTGTGTACATTTGTATGTTTGATATTTGTAATTCATTTAATATTCCCCCTCGGTCTTCGCTCTGTACGTCCCGCTCCCCAACTTCATTTCTGCTCATGTTGCACTTGCTAAGCCACTGACTGCTGCTTTTGCTGTTCGTTTATAAATTGCTGTCGTTGTTGCTGTTGTTGTCGTTGATTACGATATGGTTGCTGTTGTTTTTGTTGTTATTACTAAACAGTTCACAGTTCGTTAAATGTAAAACACGAAGTTCATTTGAATATCAACTGGAGTAGTGTACGAGGGAACTACATCAATAACCAACAGCATGGGGGAGGGAGAAATGGTTTAATACGAAAGATGCGCGATGTAGTCCATATGTATGTGGTTTGGTAATGAGTTTTCAAATTTTCTTTATTTTGACAGAGTTAAATTGAAAGAATTTTGTGGAATTTTTGCAGAATTAAGTACCCCGAATCATTGCAATCCAATTAAGGAGTAAATATAAAATAATAAAAAACCAATGAGTTCGACCGAAATTTGAATAACCTCTAACATTTGGAACAAATTTTCAATATAAAAATAAATAAATAAATCGATAACAAATTTGTTAAAATCTTAAAAATACCGAATATAAGGAGGGATACCGTTTTATTGGGGCCTGGACCTGCAGGGGCAATTTATTTTCACAGGTTGCAGTACCTATTAGGAACTTCAAATACGACATTTGCAACCATTCCGGTGAATAATGTCGCTAAAATCATCAAAATTCCGAATATAGGGAGGTACAGGTATATGTTATAGGGGCTATACCTGGACCTATATAGCCCATTTTCAATACCAAACCCACATTTGTGTAAAATTTTATCAAAGTAATTCTATTCGTTTCGAATCTAGAGTGATTTTCACAGACGTACGGACTTCGATAAATCGATACAGAATTTTATGCTGATCAAGAATTATATACGGTTTGGGGTCTAAAATGTATATTTCAAAGTGTTACAAACGGAAAAACAAATTTAATATACTTTCCAAATTATGGTGGAGGGTATAAAAAAAAATTCGAATTTATTGAAATCTTGTTAGCTATTTTTCCGCTGATTTCAGGGAAGTATTTTTGAGTGTTTCCCTATATTTGATTCAAAAGTTCGGACTCAAATATGATTTGCGCTCTGTCCCACAGAACCGATCACATGTAGGCTTAAAGCTTATAAGGAAATATATCCAGAAAAATGGTTATATACCAATATGAATATATTTTTACGGCTGGGGAGATACATCAAGATAATATTTCTGATCCGTTTTTATATAGCCTCCAAAGGTTAAAAAAAACAATCACACTGTGCAAAAAATAAAAATGATTACGAGGAAAAAAGAGCAAATTATCAAAGTACAGCGTTTTGAAAGTTTACATCGCAAAGTAACCTAAACAGAATTTTTCGCATTAAGGTTTCTCAAAAGTCTTTTTAGTATCTTTGGTCATTGAGTACTAATAAAAATACGAAAAACATTTCATTTTTGATCCTTTTTTAGAAAGATGTTAAAAACTCTTGTTAAACGGAATCGTAGCAAGTCAAAATATTCCACAAAATTATTTGTCATAAAATTGTACTATAGGTCCTAGAAGACGTCAAGGGTATAAATATTACCTAAACGTCAGGAATTCAGATTTATTAAAAACACATTTTAGGGTAAAGCCCGTACTATGTGTGAGTTTGTGCAAAAATCTCCAACAAATCAGCATTTTAGAAGGATGACGTCAAAGACAAAAATATTCTTCATCAAATTTTACTACAGTCACCAAAGAAAACATTATGGCAAAATATTTTTGCATTAATGTTTCGAAAAAAAAAACCGAAAATATTTCTCAATTTTTTTGATCAATTTTTACCGGCCTTTTTTCGATTTGACGCCTGAAAGTAACATAAAATGTCGTTTTAGGTAGAAGGTATCAAAAGAAGAAATATTCTACACAAAATTCTACTATAATTCTCAGGATAAACCATATGTCTATGTACAATAGTTTTTATGAAAAATACATTCAAAATCTATGTACTAAAAGTGAAAATTATTTCTTTGTTCTTTTTTGTACTGATAATTAAAATGTATCCATTCAAAATCTCTCTTTATACTTCATTTTTTTTTTTTTGGGAAATGTCCAAGTAAGAAATATTCTAGATCAAAATTCATTGTGAGTCTCTGAACAAAAGAAATTTGTATCCTCAATATGTACCATTAGAAAATGCCATCAATTTTTGTTAATAAAAGCCTTGTTTATTTCTGGAAAAATTAACTCTTTTTAAAATTCGCTGCAAATTTCCTTATAATTTTACTGCTCAATAACCAGTCTGGGTTGTGAAATATTCCAAGTGGGGTTGATAGGTACTCGTTTTTAGATAGAACTCCATTGGAGTTCCGGGTCCTTTTTTTAAGGCTCTTTTATGGTTTTGACCATATATAAGGGTATTTTGCAATATCTAGGATAGAGCTATGAAATTTAATAGAGATCTTTGGGCTCATCCTTTGCTTCCTAGATTTGACGATTAGTAAGGATAATTACAAACACTTTCAGCATGCATGGCTAAATCGGAATCAGAATTTTCACTGATCAAGAATATATATATAAAATAATTATATCGTAATTAGAAACATAAAATACATCCTAGGGGCATAGAAACAGAAATTTCATTGATATATACAATTTTATTGAGAGCTACACTTTTAAAATGGAAGCTTCAATTACTTTAAATTAAGATTGTTATCAAGAGTCCATAATCCAAAACATTACATTACCAATATCATCAAACCAACATTTTTTTAGTTAAACAACATATTTTAGTTAAAAGTTAAAACAAGTCTCAACCACTTACCTGTCAACCAAGTTTCTTTCGTTTCCTTCTTCTTCTACGTCTATTTCGTGCTGATATCCTTGCTTCTCATCAGTTTTTATTCCAAATTCACAACACGTTTCCTTCCATGTCACACAATTGCAATGACGATGACATCGTTTTCCGTAGACGAAAATTTCAACACGTTCTAGTTTTGAAGCATGAACGCAGCAGCAGTTTGCCATGGGATGGGATGGGGGGAGGAGGAGACTGTGTGTGTGCTCATTATGAGATTGTTTGTATTGTCACTTGCTGTTGGCTTTCGTGTTTTATGCTTCTTCCACTTCATCATCATCTTTTGCTGTTTTATTTTATTATTATGACGACGACGATGACGTTTTGTTTTGAAATTCAGTGCTATTTTCTGTTCTGTTTCTTGTTTTTCTTTTTGTCTACTTTGCATTGTATAGTTGTTATTTGTTTTGCTCTTTTTCCCTTTGGTGTTGCTGTTGTCGTTGTTGTTTATTTATTTGCATATCGCATGATGTCAATATGTCTGCGATTTTGCAATTTTGTTGAAATTGAAAACACTTTTTTGTTGCCTTCATTTCAACCCACCCCACCTCCTCTATCAGCTCTCTTCTCTCACGTCCTTTTCCACATCGATGATTCTCCTTCTTCAATGAATTCATTTTGCCATGGAGAGAGTGCAACAATCTACGACATTTAACTGACTCTGTGTAAGCATCTGTGAGTACGTGTGTGTGTGTGTGCTCTATTGGGGGGTTTGTGCAAAGGGGTTACATTCAATCTACTACGTTAATAGGGCTATTACACTATTTGCGAACGAGTTGAAAAACTTAGAGAGTGAGAGAGAGTCTGTTTGAGAGCCGAGTATGGATTTCAATAACACATTGCAACAACCATCCTCCAATGCATTCATTTGTTGATTTTAATTACAGACTATTTTGTTACGATATTCATAACTGAGAATTATTTATGCCTGTAGATAAAAAGAAAAAGATATGAAATATGGCAGAAAGATTAATAAATAAATTGAAAATGCAATGAATGTTTTGCAAAAAAAGGGTAACGTTTGGCATTGTGTAGTCTGGTAACAATGTTTACACAATTGGGAATTAAAATCTAGAATCAAATTGATGATTTGAATTTACGATATATTTTTGGGTATTATCGGCATGGGAGGAAAAAAATATATATGAAGCCTATGTCTAACATTATCATTGATGAGTGTAAATAGCAATTTGTAAGTAAATCTGGTTAAAATCCAAAGGACAATTTTTAGTATCTAAAATCGGGAGAAGTTATCGAAACACCAAAAATCGAATGGTACTAATATATGAGGACTGTGCCAAAATGAGAGAATATCCACTATTAAATTACAGTCAATTCCGGTTGAATAAAGGTACAAAGCCTCCAAATATACCTAAATTAGGGTGGTATCGTTATGTGGAGACGTGGGCTCGAACCAATTTGGAATTCCATGCGAAATCTACTGCCATCTAAACTTTTAATTTTTGGAGAATGGTATAAAAAACCCGTAGAGCAATATCTTCAATGATCGTTTTTTATATAAATAATCCAACGAACTAAATTTGGATTTCTATATCGGGTACTCGATAAACATGAACATACGGATAATTTATGTGAAATATATCCTTGAATTTTTCGAAATTGTCGAACTATTGTAGGGGAAGCATCAGAAAAAGTAGACCGATATGATCCATTTTCACGATCAAAAAAAAAAAAAAAAAAAAAAAAAAAAGCTGTAAGTTCGACCGGACCGAACTTTGAATACCCTCCAGCATTTGGAACCAATATTCCAAAAAATAAAATCCGTTCAAATCTTAAAAATACCGTATGTGGCCATTGTAGCTAAAATCATCAAAATACCGAATACAGGGAGGTACCAAAACAATTTTCTGTCATAAGTTGTAGTATCCATTACGAGCTTCAAACACCAAATTTGAAACAATTCCGGTGAATAAATCATTAAAATACCGAATATCGGAATGTGCGGTTATATGGGGGCTATAGGAAGACCTGGACCTGCTCAGACAATTTTCTGTCATAGGCTGTAGTATCCATTACGAACTTCAAATCCCAAATTTGAAAACAATTCCGGTGAATAATGTTGCTAACATCACCAAAATACCGAGTATCGGAAGGTGCCGCTATATGGAAGCTATACGAAGACGTGGACCTGTATAGACAATTTTCTGCTTTAGGCTGTAGTATCCATTACGAACTACAAATTTCAAATTTGGAACAATTCCGGTGTATAATGTCGCTTAAATCACCAAAATACCGAAAAATGGGGAGGTACCGATATATGAGGGCTATACGAAGACGTGGACCTGCACGGACAATTTTCTATCATAGCCTGTAGTATACATTACGAACTTCGAATATAAAGTTTGACACAATTCCGATGAATAATGTCGCTTAAATCACCAAAATACCGAATATCGGGAGGTACCGATATATGGGGGCTATACGAAGAAGTGAACCTGCACACTCAATTTTCTGCTTTAGGCTGTAGTATCCATTACGAACTTCTAGTACCAAATGTTAAACATTTCCGGTGAATAATGTCCCTAAAATCATAAAAATATCGGGAATATCGGGAGGTGCCATTATATGAGCACGAACGAGGGGCGTAAATACAAGGCAATTGACACGGAAATCGGCATTATCTTGTGGCTATGTTCCTATTGCAACATAACATTGTTTTTAACCCTTAAGAACCAAACCTGACAATATCCTGCGGGATTCGTTCATTCCAAAGTGTTTCAGATCTATAGAAACTTTACCATGAATATACTTGTAGGTTATCCCATAATCGGTCCCGCCCGACTGTAGCCGTTACTCACTGTCATGTTGTGTAATGATTGAACTACATCGAAAACTTTCTTAGACCAACATGAGGTTTTGATGTATTTTTTATTAGAGCGTGGTGAACTTTTGTGGGGGAGGTACTCGAAGAAGTGGGAAAATATTGTCCCCTTCCGAACCTAGCCAAAGTCCCATCTAAATATTACAATGTGCCCAGTTAGATTTGGATTTTTCTCAAACTTTTAAGCTTTTGTCGAAGAGGTACCACAAGAGAACGATATTATCCATCTCCGAACTCTAAGTTCCGTAAAAATTTTTTGGTGTAGGAAGTTTGGTTCAAATCGAATTCTCCTTTAGAGAGGTATCATGCACTGACATACGTACAGTTCTGTCCTGCAAATTACATATTCTTGCTAAGGATATAATAAGGAATATATACTTGCTTATGGGGCATCAAATGATTTGATTTGATTTTTTCGAAATGACAAGCTTAATATACCAGCGTAACACATGGTGGAGGGTTTACAAATTCAGGCTGCATTCATGTCATCATTTCAAAAGAGGATATAAGTCTCTAAATTTCAAATATCAAACTCAATTACTTAATTGATAGAGCTACTTGATTTCCCACCCCGATTATGTTTCATGGCACCTACAATGCCAATATTTCATTTGCCGGGCAATAAACCCAACTTCCAGGCCCAGCCATCAATCAAAAATAGAATCTCACAAAATAATCCCCTTAAAATTAAACTCTTTAAGATATTTCATTAATTTGTTGGAACTCACCTTCACGAGCCATGGAACAGCAGGTTGTTGTGGAAAATGCGCTACTGCCTGTCATTCGTGATGCTGTCGGATTGTAAATGCCTGCCTCTATCTCTTGTCAAATTTTTTGATTCAATAGCCTGCTGCACTGCTTGTGGTCAGGAGACTGGATGTGGGTGTAGAGACATTAATCACTGACGTCACAAGATTTTCAACCTTCGAGACCAAAGCCGACGATGATGCTGGTGTTGGTGTTGGGGCCGAGGTTTGATGAGTATTGTTGATGGCGATGTTATTGTTGTTGTTGCTAACAGTGAAAATCGCTTTAACTTCTCTTTGTTCATCGCCCACCAAAGACGATGACGGCTCGCTACATCTTTCTTCGGGTTCTTTCTTGATTTCCACAACCTCCGACGAACTAACCTCAGCTAAATGCATTGCTGATAAGGGCTGGCTGATTGTTGGAGCAGCCAGAACTGCTGAGGCTGTGGTTGATGTTGTTGTTGTCGTTGGTTGTTCCACTGCTTCCTGTTTTATTTGCTGTTTAAGTTTACTTCCCCCATTCATTTCCGCCAACGAGGATTTCGATGTTACACTGGCGATCTCATCCAATTGTTTCAGATTCGATTTGGCCGAAGCCTCAGCAGCTGCCGCGGTGGCTCTGATATTCAAACTTGCAGCAACTTGATCAATAGAAGGGTGTCGCTTCGAGGAGAGGGAAGTCGCGGTAATGGTGTTGCGCAAAGGCGTAATTGAGGAGGTAGTAACGTTGGAGCCCAGAGGTAGTGAAGTAAGCGGGGAATGCGGCGATGTAGGCTGTTTGGAGAGCAGAGTCTTGTCAACCTCATTGCTAAGGTTGGCAATGAGTGGGGCAGCTATGGTAACCATCGGTATGTTGTTCGTCGCTGATGGCTGGTGGTTACGAAATGCCAAGGCCGAGGGATTGGGTATGCTTCGCACCGAAGCGTTTTGCTGGCGCACCAAGGAATTTGTATTGATTTTTGGTTTTTCATAGACCGAAGCCGTTGCAGTGGCCGAAGAAGTGGACGATGTAATGGCAATCTTTTCCCGAGCTGTTGCCGACTCCGAGAGTAAATGGAGATTTTGCAAATCCTCTGAATTTGGTTTTAAATCTATTACGGGTTTGCTTTCCGCACACGCAGTACTGGACATGTTCTGCTTGATTTTGGATAAGGTAAACTCCAGTGCGGAACCAGTTGCCGCCAATGTGGGCGAGCCGGGAATGTTAACTGTTGGTGTAGTTGTTGTTGCCTTGGGACATATCTTCTTCTCCGCCGTTTGTATGCCATTTGTGGTCTTGGGGGATAGATCCAAAATATCCTGCCCCGATTCTCGAGAGGGTAAACGGAATTGCCTCAGACTACTGGTGGGCTTCTCCACTGGTCCATTGTTATTTTTCAGAGTCGTTGCGGCGCTGGGGTTGGGTAATGTGGTGGACTCACTTTTCTTGTTGCTTTGCCCAGGAGGTGACGGGGAAGTGGTTGTTTTACTTAAACTAGACCTGGCATTCATTTGTGCCGAAGAGGAGGATACAGCTGCTGACGAGTGAGATTTATGCAGTAGATTTCCTAATGGTGGAGATTTCACGGATGTGGGTACAACGGTATTCAGTTTGGGCAGGCTTGCTGGCGGTCCCATTAAAGGAAAAGTTTTGTTGATGCCAAAGCTCGTTAGACTCGAATTTGTTGAGGAACCAGTTGGACTTGTCGCTGCGGTTGTTTGTTTTGCCAACTCCTTTTCGGGCTTCTTAAGGGATGCGGTGTTTGTGGTGAATATGGGCGATTTGCAGTTGCCAGCACCTGGGGACAATCCCGTGGGCGAGTTAAGGGAATTTGCCCTGCCACCCGAACCAGTGGTTGTTGAACCGACTGTGAATGAACATTTCGGGTTGTACGAAGCCGAGAGGGGTGAGTAAAGGGGTATTTCATAGGTGGCTTTGGCTGTGGATGAAGTCGGCGTGGCGGGCACCTCGACTTTGGTCACTTGCAAATTACTGCCATACGCACTGACGGTAATCTGGTGTGGCTTATCGTATTTGCTTTGTTTGGCGGCCTTACCCTCGTCCATGGATGCCGAGCGTTTGAGCAAGTTGCCCATTTGTTTATTCGCCGAACTGGCTATGGACGAGGGCGTAGAGGGAAGGAACTTTGAAGTGTTTGAGGCCATTGAACGTGGTAGATTAGGAACTGCAAATTGTGGCGGTTTGAGGGGCGGTTTTATGGTGGGCATTGGTTTCGGAGCCAAGGGTTTCATTTTTAGGGGCTGTACTACGGGTTTATCTTTGATTTGTTTGGCAGCAGTTACCACGGGCTTTGTCTTGGCCACGGTATTTACGTTCGGAGTAAATGTAGAAATTGTCAGCGGGGTGGTTTTGAAGAGACTAGGAGGCAAAGGTGGTGAATGAGGTAATTTGGAGTCTTTGATATTTGCTAAGGGTTTACTGAGCGACAGAGCAGTGGTTATGTCCGGCATGCTGATGTCATCATCATCCTCAAAATCCTTGGCAGTTGTCTTGATGGCCAAAGGTTTGAGCTTTGGAACGGACGAAGTAGCCTGGAAATCCGAAGGAAATTGAAAGTTGTCCCAAATTGTGTGAGACTTTTTCGGCTCTGCGGCCTTGGTGTTGTCATGACTGTGCTTGGACTTATGTTCCGGCGATTTGAGGGGCTTTTCAATGCTAAAGTGATCCAGAGATTTCTTGTCGCTCTGTGGCGATTTCTTGCTTTCCAGTTTCGAGGGTTTTATGTTTAGCGGAGTGGTTAGCTTCACTTTCATCTTAAGACTCTCGTCGGCCATTTGCGATGAGATTTCGGCATGCATTTTCTTGCTCCTTTTTGCGTCTTTGGACTCCTTAGAATGTTTCTTCTTGCGTTTCTTGTGCGACGATTTGCTGTGTTCGCCGGAGACATTCAAATAGCCATTCGAGGAGGAGGTGGTCGAAGAGGAACATGAGGAGCGAGGCGAGGCATTTGGGGTAAATTTTCCGGCTGTTTCCAGTTCGGCGGGTGCAGTGTGACTGGATGTTTGCACCTCTATGGGTTTCAGGCCAATATTTTTGACATATGTCTCCAGGTCCACCTTGTCATTGCTTGGCTGGGGCTCATCCAGAGAAAACTTTCGCGGCTTGTGATGATGCTTCAGCATTAGAGTGTCAAGGCGTATATCGGCCGATTTGGGTTTCTCGATTAGCTTGGTCTTCAAGCTGTTCAGTTCGATTTTTAGTTTGGGTACATTTCTGACCTTTTTGCTATTGTTCGAGGATGTTGTTGAGGACGTGGTTTCATCGCTAACGCTCGAAGATGGTGGAGACTTTTTGCAAGCCGTCTTTAGCTGAGACAGTGGCTTTGTGTCCCACTCATCCTGCATTTGATTGTGCGGAATGCTTACGACAATATCACATTTGGCGGGTTTCTCCTCCTTTATAACCAGGGCGGGTGTTTTGACTTTTGTCTTTGACGCAGCGGAATTGATGCTAGAGGCATTGGGAGTGGCTGGAGGCGTTGGCGGTGCCCCAAATTGACTGTAGCGTATGTCATTGCTACGCAGCGACTTAAAGTCATTGGTAGTGGTGGTGGGTAAGGTAAAGTCTTCCACCAGGGAAGATCTTTTTGAAACCGTTTTCTTTACCGATTCAGTGGGCTTGGAGGAAATTGTCAGCTTTACGGATGGTTCCGCAGACTGATGTTTGGAGGCGGGTTGTTTGGATGTTTTCAGTTTTGTTGTTACCGGCGTTGGTGTTAGGAATGGATTTTCATTTTCATCTTTTAGCGACTTTTTCGTTTCACTGCCTGGCTGAGTTGTGGAGATTTCAGTGTCGGTATGCTTAAGCACGTTTTGATTATCCAATTCTGGAGTATTTAAATGTTCCTCCTGATAGATCAATATTCGGTAGTATAGTTTAAGGGGAGCTTGCTGTGTAGGAGAAAAAATATAGGACGAAATGGGGGTAATGAAGGAGGGATGTGATAAAATGTAATAAAGAGAAGTATAATAAAAAGAGGAGTGTATTTTTCTCCCTCCCTATTTTATTAGAATATATAAAGTTTATTTTTTGGTTACGCCTTATGTTGTCCCTCCATCCTTTGTTTTTAATATTGGTATGCCTCTGGTATGGCACATTCTTTAGTTATTTTCCCCTACCCCTTAACGTTTCTACTTCTTACTTAATTTTCTCTTCTTCTCTCACTTACCCCTTTATACTGATAGCAATAGGCCACGTCCATGAGAGTAAAATCACTGGGCAGAACTTCATCCTCGTAGATCACCTCAATATCTACTTTCCGATTACTCGGATCTATGTCGAATTTTGAACACAAAAACCGCTTCAAATGCTGTATTTTTAGGCTGGCCAGGCACTTGAGATACCTCACGGGAGGTATATCAGCTTCCTCGCATTGCTGTGCCAAATGCGGATGAAATTCCAAGGACAGGCTAATGGAATCCCGGGCTGTATAGAAATCATCATCCGACTCCAGTAGGGCATTCAGAGTATCCGAGGATGGGGATTCCTCATTTTTGGCATTATTTACAAATTGCACTACACGCTCACGTTCCTTTTGATATAAACCAGGTACCAATTTGTAGATGATTGAACGCAGAACATTGTCAGATCTTTTTTTTTTGGGGGAAAAGGTGTTGCAAAAAAGAAGGAGAAGCAAATTGCTTTTAATATTCTCTAAATTTCCTTGTAATTTTTGAATAAAACCTACTTTAGATTTGAATGAGTTAAAGCTTTGCCGCCACTCCCCTTGCAGCGGGGACAATAGCAATCTTCGGCCAAATGTTTGACAATACAACTACGACAATCTATGGGAAAATCGGAATTATGTTGGGCGTTCACATCAAAGCTTAAATCCTCTACTTACAGCTGTGTAAACAGGCATCTATGGTCGTAGGATTTATGAGATATCCTTGGCACAGGTAACACTGGAACAGTTCATTGAATGCGTTTATTTTTGGTTTTGGCGGATAGAATTTATTCATGTTGCTGTGGGCTGCTTTTGTTGGTGTTGTATGGTCAGAATTTACATTTGTTGTTGTAGCAACTGGATTTGATGTTGTTGTAGTTTTAGCTATTAATTGCATAATATTGTTACTTTATAAACTAGAGCCTCTTTCAAATTGCACGAGCCAAAGAATTTTTTCTATTTATGTCGAGAACATAAATCTAAGCGGAACTTCCTAAAATAAGAAATTCATAAATTTAGGAGACAAGACATGGATATGGAGGAAATAAATGTAACAAAAATTCGAGAAACTACAGAAACATTTGCCAAGTTGGAAGGATATATTCTACAAAAGAATCTAAAAATGAGAATATCGAACGTAAATTTTACTCTCAACACAAATGGTTCCACATTCGGTGTCTGCATAGTGTTTAAGTAAATTGTTAAGCATTTCCATTTGTCGAAGCTTCATTACGAACAAAAAAAACATGTAAAACAATTCAGTTAATGTCCCCTAAAAATTCATTCATTTATTCATTCCCTCACTCAAACGTTCATTCACTTCAAATTCATTCAATAGCTGGATCTAAGACATTTCTTTATGCTCCGTATTTTTTTTCTGTGTTTTTTTTTATTCTCACACTCGAAACTTCAAAGAAACTGGAAAAAGACCAACAAACTTTCTTACCGAGAAACGGGGCAAAGCATGTGAATGACTGCTTGAAGAGGTTAAATAGAGCGAACCAAAGCCAACGAGCCGGCGAAGGGAGTAGGAAGCAAACATTAAAGAGTTGAAAAAGAAGCCCAAACGCAAACTCAACGCAGCTCGACTCGACTCAACAAAAGTCATAATTAAGTTGTAAGTAACTGACACAAACGAAGAAAAATGATGTCAAAAGTCATTATTTTACCATCAGCAGCAGCGGCAACAGAAGACGAAGACGTAACAGCAGCGTTAATGGCAAACACAGCACTTCAACTTGAATGAAGTGGAAAAAAAGTTGGACCGACCAACTTTAACAGTTAACTCACGAATTATGATTTAGCAGAATCTCTCGACTCAAATGCATTTTGTCCATTATCGAAAATTAAAATCAATGAATTTCTGAACTTGTTCAGTGCCTAGGTTGTATCTGTAAATCGATTTAATTAACAGCTAGTAAGCTATTTTGTTTATTCAGTATTTGAAGTATTGAAATGGAATGTTTCAATTATGAAGTTTCTTATCTGGAAAATATTATTACAGGCCGGATAATTCTGTTAAATCAATGTGAAAAGTCATTTGAAATTATGATTTCTTGAGTTGTTGTGAATTTGGCCGTTCAATCAAAAATTTCTCAAATAAATCAAGAAAATATTGTAAATTCAGTTTTATTAACTTTTTTACTTTTAACTTTATTTGACTCAATCCCTTTGAAGTGTATTAATTGACCTTATTATGTTATAGTAATTTTGCGGGTTCAGCGCCTATAGTTTCAATCGTCCGCAATTTCAGCAATCCTCTCCCTTTCAATTAGTTCTAGAAGTTTCCTCATAGTTCTAGAAGTTTCCTCAATTTCAGCAATCCTCTCCCTTTCAATTAGTTCTAGAAGTTTCCTCATACTTAACAACATTGAACTACATTTTAGCTCAAAATGTTCCCTATGTTGTTAAATATTTACCCTTAAAGAAATTGAAATACTGAATAACATGTTAGCTCAGTAAGTGAGGCATAGACAACGACTTTACCGACTTAGTTTAGAGACTTTTTTTTCAAAATTTGGGCTGTCTACTTCAACAAGCTGATGGATCTTAATCGTTCCATTCCTCAACAGGAACTAGGTGGTTCATTTACATAGTTCCTTATTTCGTTTTGGTTGAGTTGCTCCTATCAGTTCAATCGTTCCTCCTTACTAGCTTAATCATTCATTCTACTGTTCCCTTTAATTCAATCGTTCATTTACCTTTTTAAAGTCTAACAAGTGAAATAAACATTCGTGATGCCTATACCCTCCACCATTAATTTTGTCATTTCGTTTGTAACACCTCGAAATATATATCTTATGAACCCCCTAAAGTATATATATTCTTGATCAGCATAAAATTTTATTTCGATTTAGTAATGTCCATCCATCTGTTGAAATCACTCTAGCTTCTGAACAAAATGAAGTTGATACAATTTTATAGACCATAATAAAACGGCTACATTCGGTAATTTAAGATTTTAACAGAACTTTTAACGAATTTTATCTTTTTGAAAATTGCTAAGTTCGTTTCAAATGGTGAAGGGTATTCAAAGTTCGTCCGGCCGAATTTACAGCTTTTTTTACCTGTTTTAATTAAAAAATGCTTTCGCCGCTTTCTTAATTAAAACATATATAAATAATGGATATAAAAAATGTTGATGAAATGAGATAGGTTTTTTCATGCCCTATAGGAATAAGATAAACAAAGGTGCCTTGTCTTAGCCCTCGGAAAATTTCCTAAAAAAATATGAGTTATGTAGTTCCGATAAGGGATAGTTTAGATTAACTATTCCCCAAAAGGGACGAGCGGAAATAGCAATTGTCCCTTTCACGAAATTTGAACTAGTTTTTTAAAATCTGAACTAGTTCTCGCAAGGAAAAACTGAAGTCCGAATTCGCCTCTTGTTAAATTGACCTTGGTTACAATAAATTACAAAGCAGAGAGAATTTAATATGAAAGCAAAGGGTAGAAAATAACGAAATAATAAGAAAACAATAAGAACCAACGGAGTAAAGGAACAAAATGTAGGAAAGTTCTGAAAATATTTTCGATCATTCCTTTTGCGAAAAAGTGCATTTCAACTAGTTACTTCGAACTTACATATCTCCACTTTCTCAGTGAATTTCAAAGAATTAAGCAAAGAACACTCTAACTCAACATCTGGCGAGATTTGCTAACAATGTTCTGACCGACAGGCAGCTTGACAGGCAAATAATTTATTGAAATCCTAGGTATATTACTTTTAGGAAACCTAATATTAACACGATGGTACACATGTCTGAGAAGAATATAAGAGTTTCTATCTGCCACCCACTACATAGCCCGTGTCTCCTGTTTGATAAGTACCCACATGTTATACTCACAAGTCAGAAATCTGATACTGTAGTGACCAGACCTACATATTTATAAAGGGAATATAGCTGGCTTTCACCCAGAAGCCCCGGTATGTCTGTGGCTAGACCGTCCACAGAAGTATAGCTGGCTTTCACCCAGAAGGTCCGGTATCGTTTTCCCGTATGGCAGAAGGGTAATTATTTTTTTTCGAATATATCGACATTTTTATGAGGGAAACCAGTTTTTGGTATCTGGAGGGCACTTCTTGAAACAATCCAAAATATAATATGGGTAATCAATTCGGCAGTACTCTGAAATCTTTGGCGGTAGACATGTAGAAAAACATATCCAGCAAAAACTTAACATTGCAGGATCACAAGTATGAGATTAGGGTGCAGCCCATTTTTTGCCTGTGGGTACTTGAATGCATACAATGATAGTGCTTTGAGTTAGCTGGATGATTAGAATTTAATGATGAAAAATATGAATTTTTTAAACTTTGAGAAGTATAATTTTTGAAGGGATAAAAGTTTAGGAAATCTCTCATAATTTAACAGCAGTCTATTGATGATTGAATGGTGTAGTCTTGCAAATTGAACGGACTTATTCATTTGCTCTCGGAGCAATACCAACCGATATGACATACTCAGAAGGTTAGATCCATACTTTAATGCTCTCATTTGGGAAAATATCGATAATTTTAAAAAATATTTGAAGTTGTTACTTGGGTATTTTTAATTTCTTAGTAGATATTTAGGTAGTTCTAGACCAAATAACATTTGTGTGAGATAGTCCGGATTTTGGAATCATTATTCATATTTCCCATAATTTGGTATAAGAGCGTTTTACAGCATTAGATAAAAACGTTTATTATTTTGTATTATTTATTCCGATAAATCCGACATAGAATTCCTAGACCCATAAGTTTAGGGGTGCTGTATTATTTTTAGTTACCATAAATAAGTACTCAACCCGGCATTATCCACATGATATTCTGGTAATAAATGGTGACACTGAAGCTTCGAAGACACCAATAACGAACACAAGCGGTTTCATTAACAAGCCTCTTAGACAATATGTTAATTGTTAATGCCGCACAGCCAACAACAACCAAGTCCAGTTTTTTAATGTCTGTTGTTTTTTGTTGACGGTTTTTTAAGTTCTTCACGCACGCATTTTTTTTTTAGCTCACGTACTAACAACGTCAATATTTAATTGATACGCTAAGGCAGCATGTTGGTATGTTTGTAAGTTTGTCTACTACTACCCGGCCAGACAGATAGACGTTTATACCGGCTTTTGATAGCCTCTTCGATTTGTCGTTTGCTGTAACATTAACGCAGCACAACGAAGTGGAGACTCACGCACACTCCAAGTCGTAAAGAGAAAACATCACACACACACATGACTTTACATTTACGTACTGGGAGAGGGGGCAGGGGCATAGGCCAGGAGGAGCATGGGATCCCAAGGTATGGACAAACAAGTGAGCACATAAACCGCGAATCAGTCAAAACAGTGGCAAAAGAAATTCACTTTGTTGAAATGCCGACCGACCGAACGTACGACCAAGCGACCAGGCTGGGAACGCCAAACGAACGAACAAGTGTATTAGGCGAATAAGAAGATTTTGTGTACACACACCGAACACACACGGAACACATACAACCAGCCAGCTAGCCAGCTAAGTGGCTCTAAATATGTTTGTCTGCATGTTTTTGTTTTTGGAACCGACTTTTAGTTTGTTTTGTTTTTATCGTTACATTCTTTGGTGTTGCGGGCGCTGTGTGGTGGCGGGGTGTTGTTACACTTTTCAACCTAGCATTTTGATTTACATCATTAGCATCCCGCATCCCTTTTTTCGGATGGGCACATCACCACAACACTTGGCACTTCACACAAGAGCTACAGACAACAAATGTGTATCCATTGGGAGAGTTTTGTAATCGCTTTTCGTTTCGATTCTCTTTGCAACAGACACTTTACATGATGGGTGGTTGTCGGTTGTCGATAGGGCTACCTTCTCTCTTTCCCGAGCGGACAAGGTGAGCTGAGCTCCCGTTCTTGTTTCCGTTACCGAATGAGCACAACTGAGATTAAGTTGTGAGATGTGATGATGGTCCGTCACAGCAACCAGTCCGGCAGCCACCAAAAAATTCAACTGAGTTGGACAAAACTTTGAGTTTGCCAAAAAAGCGATTTATGTTTAGCCATCTATCCATTCAGCCAGCCAGCCAGCCAGCCAGCCAGCCACACACGAAAAACTTACAGTCTCAGCCATTTTTGTTCATTCATTCCATTTCTTCATCCATCCATCCGTCTATCTATCCACCATCCAACGAGCGCAAACAAACAAACGTTCGTACGTTCGCTCGCTGGCTCGTTTTGTATGTTAGTAAATTTGCTGTGTATCTATTGTGGATTTTTTGCCTTCCTTTTGTATCTATTTCTCTACCTTTGCCAGTATGTTTTGGTTTCTTCTGCTTTTGCTTCCTCGTCTTTGTCCAACGAACGATGTAATACCTAGCAAAAAAAAAAAAAAAACAACAGCAAAATGCCAAACAATAACGCGCGCGATTTTTCTTTCCACCCAAAACGAAGTGGGTACTTTATGTGTGGGGACTCCGCAACGCATATCATACAAAATATTGAGGTGACCAGATTAGTAAAAAAGTTCAAACCATAGTGGGTGGATAATTTTATGAAGAATCTGAAAAAAAAGAGTGTTTTCCGTCACATTTACGTATTTCATATATATTTTTCCGAACAACTTCATCTGTTGATCAATTGCTTCAGTTTGGCTTGTTTTTAAGGTCCATAAATGGGTTTCAATAGACAATGAGCAACGATATTGTGACTTCGGTGTGGCTCCTAATACCTACATAATTTGATGGATTTTAAATTTAAACAACACTAAATATCCCAATATGAAGGTACCCATTGTACCCATTGGTAAATGGAGGCTTACAATTTTCAAAAATTGATAAAAATTTCGTTGAAAAATTGGCCAAAACACTGAATGATCAAAATCTGAAATACCGTTCTATGGCTCTATATGGAAACATGGACCTATAAAGGCAATTAGCTGTCATATGAGTTTATATCTAATGAAACTTTTAAATCATTCCGTTAAAAATGTGAGGCCTATACCAAAGTATGGACCTGAATAGGTGATATTCTGTTATAGGAGGTCGTATCCATTAAGAACTTCAAATATCAATTTCGAAAAAAAAATCTGTAACAGAAATCATTAAAACATCGAACAAATGTCAGAGGTTCAGTTATATGGGGGCGGTTCGAAAATTTATCAGAGAAGATGATACCTATTGTCAAGTCCAAAAAACAACTTTGAAATAATTCAGTTAGACAATGTGTCTGAGATCTCAAAATACTGAATATCGAGAGGTACCTTTATGTATATGGGGGCTTTATGAAGACGTGGAACGATATTGACAATGCTCTGTTACCGGAGGTAGTGCCATTATGAATTCACAATAACTAAATTTGAAATAAAATACCGAATATCGGTATTTACAGTTATATTCAGAATGTGCCAAAACGTGGGCCTATATGGACAATTCTATGAAGGATGTTCAAATTACAGGAAATTTCGTTTAAAATACACATTAAATCCATCGGTACCGATATAGTGTCATGCTTAATGCCAAATTTTTTAAAGGCCGAATATGTTGTCCTCAAGGTCACATAAACTTTTGCATAGCAATATCGGAAAAAGCATAGGCATGCCCTACAATACTATGTCTTGAGGATATTATAGGTTTGATTGGGCCAAAAAGTTTGTGAATATTGATCCTAGACCCACGATGCTATGTATGGCTCTTCCTATCTCGCCGAGCTGAATCCATGTTAATTTATAATCAAGCTACAGGTCCAGATTATGGTTCAATCCTACCGGAATCGATCCGGAATCACGCATGAGGTTAGATTTTAGAAGGGGGCAGAAGCCTTGCATTTTTTCGTCGTAGGATAATATTTAGCGGGTCAAATGGACCATAACTTTTGTGATTGACTACCTATCTGCACGAAAGAGGGCGTAAAAAACGGTCAAAACCTAAAGGTAACAATTTGGAGGACTATATGGTATCATTTCATAAACGGAATCGACAAAAAAAAGTGGATTTAGGCCTAAGAACGCTTTCCAATATATTATAGGGTAGTACTATAGTCTTTGCTCACTTATTGGTATATGTTACCAGGACTATCAAAATATGAACAATAAATGGAAACCATAAGATTGATGCTGCCACAAAATTTAAAAACTTCAATAGATATGCATTTTGGACTCAAGAGACAAAGCCATTCAACAGGTACCGATCAATGAATTTGTTTCTTAGGACGAATTTATACGTAATCAAAAAGGCAATTTCAGTTAAAAACTAAGCGGTAATTCTTCGAAATTCATGCTTGAGTTTGTAGCGTTGGTAAAAATCAGTACCGACATAGCTATAGCTTCCATATAAATATATGTTTCGACACAGTTGTTATTTAACTTATTTACAAAATATCACATAGCTCAGAACAAGTAAAATAGTATCAGTCGGTTTTGCAGACAGATGTATACCCCTGGCCTTGAGTTATGATTATTCAAACTGTTGACCCTTTATGAGGGAGGTTCCGAAGCAGTTGGCCAAGATTAATTTATCTTTTATGAGATTCATGAATATTCAAAATGTTGACTCTTTGTGGGGGAGGTACTTGATAGAGGCTATCGATATTGTCTATTTTCGCACCTGACCTAGCACTAATGCAAATATTAGAATCTGCAAAGTTGGAGCAAAATCGGATTATCTTTTCCCTTTCTGTGCAGTAAATTTTTTTTGAAAATTTTGACATTTTGTGATGGAGATACTAAAAGGAGTGAATCGATATTACCCATCTCCAAACTTGGTCTTAGTTTGACAATAATACTAATATATACCAAGTTTGGATTAAATCGGATACTCCCTTCGAGAGTTATCATGCGCACCAGTCAGACAGACGGACGGACATCACTAGATCGACTCCAAATGTCCTGAAGTGGATTTGGTCGAAAAAGAAAAAGGTTTAAAACGCTTATTTCGATGAGGCACGTTTTGGCCGTATCAAATGGAATATACCCTCCGTAGCCATATAGCTGAGGGTATAAAAATATCGTCGAAATCGGTTGATGTGTCGATATAACTCCATAAATAATGCTGTCCGATTTGATGTAAATGGCCTTTACGTTGGTTCAGTTAGAATAAAATCTGCCTAGTTAAGACTAAATCGGTATAGATTCATCTATAGCCCTCATATCCTCCCTGTTTCGTACGATTTCATACTTGAGCCTTCTCAAATACACGTTTCTTCTATTCAAATTTAAGACGCGGTCAAGCCGTAATTGCACTTAATAACAATCATTGCTGATTTGATTTACTTTACACAAATCCCCAATGTAAACGCATTTACGTGACAAAAAACAGAACACTAATAGAGTATGAGATTCCCAACTCAAACCAATTTTAGTCCCTTCCACACTGCTTTTAACGACATTTCCATTCGTCATGCAAATTCGACTTTGTCTGGCAACCTCAAAACCTTCATTAAAGATTAAATTCCAATACGAAAAAGTTCTGCTAAACGACTTCGCGGTTTTGGTGGAGCGAGTAAAGGGGAACCAGAAATAGTCCAACACAAGTATACACACATTCACGAGATACATATCAAACGAAAAGAGCACAATTTCAGAGCGACCACTAAACAGTGAGAGCCAGAGATTGGGAGCAAGAGCTCCCATATAAACAAAAACGACGAATGTCACGTGTCCCTTCGTCACAATAACAAAAATAATGTTTTCCAACGACTCTCACAGTTGGGAGAAGAGAAACCGACAGCCAAACGTAGTAGCACCAAAACGAACCAACAACCACCCCAAAAGCCACCGACCGTTGGATGAGCACATACACACACACACATACACACACACACATACACACTCACAGATACACCCAGCACGCACTCAACACAGTTAGAGAAATTTTATTAAGGCGAAATGAAAACAGAAACAACAACACACTTCTTGTCCGCTCGCTGCTCTTCGTCGAATAGAAAAATAAAGTGAAATTTTTACGACGTCAAACTCTCCCTTTGCCGTAGTTGTCACTTTTGCTGACAGCTACAATGTATTTTGTAATTGTTGTTGTTTATGTTTTCTTCTCGATATTTGAACAAAATAAACCACAAACAAAAATAAACGAAGAAAATCGAGGCGAAGGAAAATGGCAAAATTGGAAAAATTTTGGATGAAAACCTTTGCAGGATTTGGTTTTTTGATTTGATTGTTACACTGCACAAAAAAACACTGTTTGGATCCAACGAATTTATGAAATGTTTCATAAAATGTTCACTTGAATTTTTTCATTTTCGATTTTTACAAATGCCGGTATTTGTTTCATGTTATGGATTTTTATTTTGCATGGATACTAACTTTTTGTTTTGGAATGATTTATTGATTTTTAACAAAATTCCATTGTAGTTGTTGTTGTTGCTGATATTGTTGTGTTTTGTTATTTTTCTTATTTCACTGATAAAAAAAAACAACGTCAAACGTGACGTTCTGAGTTTTCTTTTGTTTTTCTGCTCTTCTTTGGTGGCCACTCTTTAATTCATTTTGATGAAAATTGTGTAAGTACGCAAAAAAAATCGATCTGAGCTCACTGCTGGCACCGATGTTCTTGTTGTTGTACAAATCGTCGTATATTGTGGAGCAGGGCTAGGCAAAGAGTATCCCTTGGGATGTCTGTGTGTTCACCAACACAATTGTAAAAAATAACTTGTTTTGAGTTTTCTGTCAAAATGGTTTTGGGAGAATATTTAGTATTGTTCGAGCAGTCGACGAGGAATGTGCTGTCGGATATTTTTATGAATGCACCGTAAGAAATAATTGTGTACATAAATGTAACATACTACACATTTTCAGGGAGCTTTAAAGATTTTTCTTCTTTAATTGAATTTTTTATTGGCTTTGCAATATTTGGTTCAAATCAAATGCACTTTTCAACACTTTTGAATATTTAATTTTTATTTCTGAAACAGGTGTGACAAAGATGGCCATGGACTAATTTGGGTTTTGATTTGGTCACACAAAGAAGTATTTTCAGTTTCATTTCGATAGTGAATAAGAAAGGTTCTATATATCATTTAGTTCTCCACACAAATTGTTATTACTCATATTATTATCATTATTTTAATAATTTTCATTTCCATAATTTGATAAAACTTTATGAAAATATTTTTTTTTTAATTAAATATTTTTTGCATCATTCGTGTTATCTATTCTCTTACAAAATAATTTATAGTTTATTTAATAGTTTTAATATAACAGCGTTTTTTTAATGAGTTGAAAAGTTTAATTTGCTATGAAACCCGAAATATAAAAATCAAAAAAAGCCAACAAAATATTTCTCACTGTGCAAAGAGAGGCAAAAAAACAGTTGCAATATTTTGTTATTTCAAAACACATACAATCACAAAAAATTTTTGAGGCTCTCTGCCTTGCCCTGTTGTGGAGGAAGAAAAGCAACAACAACATTAACAAATATGCACTAAAACTGTGTGAGATTTCTTTGGATCTCTGGTGAGTGAGTGTCACGCAAAAGAAGCGACGTTTGATTTCCACCGACCGTCTAACCGAACTTCAGCAGCACTATTCACAGACTAACGGGCGCAATTGGGATTTTTCGCCAGCAACCAAAGCACAGCGCGATATTTGCCTCAGTTTCCTATTAGACTCTTTGCCGCTGTGCTGTGCTTTGCTCTGGCGCTCAGCAAGCCGTGCTGTGAATGTGTGTGAGTGCGTCGTTTCATTTCATTTGCCCATGCAGCGACAACAATACCACTCTCCCACTCTGGCTCATGGCCACACTGCGACGTTGTTCGGAGAGCAAACATGCCCAGCACACATTCGTACACAATTCGTATTGGCACGAAGTGCAAAGCATTGCCTCCCGCCATATCTTAAACAGTTGAGCCTACCCCTTGATGGATTTCCTTGTCTATGATTGGCTGTTGTGTATACACTCGGCTCGCTAACGAAAAGAAACGACAGAAAACGAAACGACTTCATTTTGTTGTTGTTGTTTCTGCGGTGGCTGGGTGTGTGGCTGGCTGGCAGGCAGGGTGTTTGCCAGCACCACGCACCACAAACGAACTCATCGCACACACACGCACACAACTCGACAAGAGGTGTGGTGTGTTGTCCATTACGAAAATGAGTTTGCCGGCTGTTTTTTTCTTCTTTTTTTTTTTGGCGAACAGCCCCCTTTAAGGCGAGAAGTAGTCGTTGGCAATAATGAGAGCTGAGCTCCCAAAATTTAGTTGAAATTGCGCGCGCACATTCACTCTCACAGCGTGTCGTGTCGTGGCATTCTCTTATCTTGGTCAAAATGTATTTTGTGTGTGTATACATTTTATTTTTATTTTTTTTTCAAATTCATCGGACGCCCAACGATTCAATTAAAAAATTTGTGTTTATTTGGTTTTGAGTTTTTTAATTTGCATTTTCTATAACGCAAATCGCTTATAGCTCGTAGGTTTTTTATCAAATGCAATAATGTTAGGTAAAATAGCAGTGTGCTTCTGTTTTTTTGATACCGAAATGTGTTTTTGACAGCCTTCTATATCATTCTTCTTTATCTCGAATTTTAGAGGAGACCAAAGTTGTCATGATAATATTTTGATTGCTTCAGCGCCTCAATATGCTGATTTTTAAAGAATGACAACATTTTAACCAAAGACTATTTCTGTAGGTCTCAAATTTAGAAAACACGGCGAATACACATAGGTATGAATTCGCTTGGAAAATTCCGAATAATTTTGTAGGTACGGTTGTATGTGCGCACAATTTGTTAGAAGATAGCTTCCATGGCTTCTACAACTTTTGCGATACAATCCGAAAAAGGGACCAAGAAGAACTAACGACGGGAAAATGGACAAAAAGTGAGAATTTTCAAAAAAAAAATGTTCTGAAACATCAAAAAATTAACCATTTTGAAGAGGGCTAAGGCTGCGTCGGTGGTGCTCGATGTTCCCTCTATTTTAATTAGACTGTTGTTGATATTAAAACAAGGCCCAAAATAAATACCCATACTGGCAAGAGATTCCACGGGGCTCCATTGTCATATGCCGGTGATGTGCTTCCGATTATTGGAATGAGGGTGGATGGAATTTTTTATTTGCTCTACCATTTGTCCATAAATGAAAGATATAAAGATGATAGCCAAATTAAGGTTAAAGCCTTAATATGACGAATAACGGGAAACAATCTACAAATGACTGAAAATTACACTTTTCGGAGGGAGAGGGCAGCGAGCCCTTGGTCCACACTGGTGAGGTTATACTACATCCGTTTTTACCAGTTGTGACATAAGCAGAGTACAGATTTGCTCGTTTTCTCTGGGGAGTGAAAATTGCTCGTGAACGGGATTGCTCGCAGAGTGGGAGTTTTATATGGATTTTACTCTCCACTGTTTTGTTAAGAGTGGGAGCCGAATTGCTCGAAATAGAGTGAGATTTTGCTCTAAGAGTGAAACTGAGTGGAAAGAATATTTCGTTCGACCGTTAGACCTTTATGAGGTCTATGACGAATATTTAGGGATGTTACAAACGGAATGACAAAGTTAATATACCCTCCTTTCCAAGGTGGAGGGTATAATAACACACAAGAAGCAAGAGGTCGGCGGGTGTTGTGTACAACAGCTCTGTTAGCACAGATTGGGAACAATGCTAATCACAGTGTTCAGAGCAATGTATACTCCTATATAAAGTAGAGAACGTCCCATGGTTGCTGATAAAGGATGGATACGTTATAGGTCTGTCTGGTTGCTTGAAGTCTGTTAACACAAAAGTTCTTCGCAACGTAGAGATTTCAGAGAAGGATTTTATACGGTCGGAAAAAATTCTTATTAAAATCAATTGAATCTTCTTATAACCTTCCGATGATTTATATGTTTAAGGAAGAAATTTAAAAAAATATTTATTTTCAAGTCGGAAGCCTAACTGCTTCGTCGTTTGAAGAATTGTTTTTTACTCATTTTCTTATTAATTTTTTTGCGTGTTTTGTTTCTTTTTTTGCTGGACAAATTGTGTTGTTTTGACAAAATAGCTGATTGCTTGCAAGTTTTTGTGCAGATTCCGATTATATTTTTATATAAAAATATAGGGTGAGATAAAAAAACTGCTGATATCTTTTAGTGCTAACATTGCTTCCCAAAATACTCCAGACACAATAGTCCAACGGATTGGTATCCGGAGATTTTGGTGGCCATTGTGCGCTGGAAATGAAGCGAGGAATGGTGCTGAGTCGTGTTAGAATATTCAGGTCTGCGGCCAAAATGTTTGTGTGCCCAAGGCTTTAATATACCCTCCAAAATATATTCGCGATAAAATTCGGCATTTATTCTGATGCCTCGGTCGATTAAAACAAGCGGAGAGCAACCATCGGCTGTTATGGTGGCCAACCGAAGGCGCACATTTTCAGCTGACCTCTTTGGCAAGTAAACACGATCATTTTGTTTGTTTACAAACTGCTGGACAACAAATGTTTTCTCATCGGAGAAGACCAAATTCGGCAGTTCACCACTTTCGGCCAAGCGAAGAAACTCTTTAGCTCTTTTGAGTTTATTTTCTTTCTAGTGTGGTGTTAGTTCTTGCACTTTTTGGAATTTCAATGGCTTTACGCCGAGCTCATTTTTCAATATTTGCCGAATGGAAAATTGCGATATGTTCAACTCACAAGCCATTTTTCGGCCACTGCGACGAGGGTTTCGATCAAGTAGTTTCTTTACTTTTCGAACCATTTCTGCTGATGTTGCTGTTTTCTTCCATTCACTTCCATGACGTCGCTACGGTAACGAGCGATGGTGCGGATAAGTTTTTTTTTTTTTTTTTGTAAAATTCTCACCAAAATGCCTTTGTAAGCTCTTAAAAATATAATGAATTGCCACTGGAAAAATTTTTAACAGCTGTCGGTCGAGTGGCTTGAAAATGACAGCAGTCTGAAGTTGGTTGCAGTTTTTCATCTCACCCTGTATTTTAATATTATATTTTTACCCGGAACAAGAATATACCTTGTAAATATATTTTTAGCCTGAATTATTATGCAGTTGGTATTTATTCTTCTCATAGCTTTCGGGGAAAGACTCCTTAGGCAAAAAATGGCAAGTTTTATCGCTACCATATTTTTCACCGTATTTTGGGAATCCCGGCCACAATTAAGTGTTGCTTCTAAAAGATGTTGGTTTTCCTTGGAAATTGTCCCCTTGTATCATCAATGCTGGGTCGGTTTGATATTACACAGAAAATCAATCTACGATGTAAAATTTTCAATATTTTCAAGCAATATCAGACATACACCCGTGAACATTTTTGAGAAAAAGGGTCCGCCAAATGACTTCTAGTGAAAATTAAAACCAAACGTTGCCTATTTCCTCCTCTTCCATTTTTGTGAAAGAAAAAACAAGTTAAAAAGTATCCGTCGGTTTTGCCGAAAGAGGTATACCCTCCAGTCAATACCAGTTTATAAATATATTTTGATTTGCGTTATGATTATTTCAAATGTTGATCTTTTATTTTGACCCATTGTAGAGGTGGTAGGAGTGGGCGATATATCCCAGCTTCAAACGAGATTTTGTGTTGGTAGAATTCTTGGAATGTGTGAAGTTTGAAAAGAATCGGGAGCTTATTTTCCAGTTTATGAGCCTAATATTTATTCAAAAATTTGACCCTTTGCCGTGGAGGTACTAGAAGGATTGGACCAATATTATCCATTTTCCATGGCTAGGCATGCATATTAATGTGAAATTTTAGAGAAAAGGACGGCAGGATTCGGGTGAGTCTCTGGCATGTCACAAAATATGTCATGCGAAGACTTCAAGCTGCTTATGTACCTACATCTTTAGACTCTCACAGTCGTATAATAATCGTGGAAGCGATTTGTTTCCATATTTTTAAGGTCCTAAAATAGCAGATTTTTATAAATCGTTTTGTCATTTATCATTTATCATTTTTATACCCTCCACCTTGGAAAGGAGGGTATATTAACTTTGTCATTCCGTTTGTAACATCCCTAAATATTCGTCGTAGACCCCATAAAGTATATATATTCATAATCAGCATAAAATTCTAAGTCGATTTAACGATGTCCGTCTGTCTGTCTGTTGAAATCACGATACAGCCCACATTATT